CCCTCCCTCTTTCTTTCTTTCTTTCTTTCTTTCTTTCTTTCTTTCTTTCTTTCTTTCTTTCTTTCTCCCTTTACCTTAAATTTCATCATAAACAGAGGGCTCTATTCTTTTTAACTCTTTTACCCAGGCCCTGAACCACTACTTCCAACTCCATCTTAAGTTGCTTGCTTGTTATTTTGGGTAGGTCATCCAACCTCTACTTGGAGATCAGGCCATTGGATCAGGCCAGTAGGAGTAGGGCCTAGTATCCTCGGTCTAAATCGGCGATTCAATGGATAGAATGAGAAAGCCCCCAATTTTCCTATTGTTCGGTATATCTTGGTCATTAATCCTTGGCTTATGACTGTAATTAGAATCAGAATTTCCATCGCTAACCAAGGCAGTTAAGTGACTCGTGCTGGATTTGAAGACTTTTTTTTTTAAACCATGGTTGATAGAGGGTTCAGTGCAGTTGTTAAGCGAGTCATGAGGTCATTAAGCAAGCCCTTTGTCACATGACTCTGGGATGCTGCAACCATTATAAATACACGCTTGGTTGCTAAGCGTTTGAATTTCGGTCACGTGACCCTAGGGATGCTTCAACCCACAGTCCTTGTGTGTGCAAGGCCTGGATTGTGTAAATCACTTTTTTTTTTAGTGCCACTGTTAATCTTGAACGGTCACTAAATAAATGATTGGAAGTCAAGGGCAACCTGTACTTTGATGCTGGGAGTGCGATTTCCATCTGCTGCATTGAGTGATGGGAATAATCACAGGTCAGAATCACAGAGTTGGAAGGGACCTTGGAGGTCTTCTAGTCCAACCCTCTGCTCAAGCAGGAGACCCTATAGCAGAGGTCTCCAAACTCGGCAACTTTAAGACCTGTGGATTTCAATTCCCAGAATTCCTCAGTCAGCCGTGCTGCTGGGCAATTCCGGGAGTTGAAGTCTAGAAGTCTCAAAAGTTGCCAAGTTTGAAGATCCCTGCCCTATACCATTTCAGACAATGACCTGTTGGCTTGGAGATCAACAGCTTGGGGAAATCCAGGCAGAGAATTTGGACTTTAAAGAGAAAGATTCTTCCTTTGACCCCAGTTTCCCAATGAGGGACCTTTCTGGATCACCGGTCCAGATTGCTGAGTGCCTCCAACACAATGCGTGCAGATAGTCCTTGAGCTAAGACCACAATAGAGCCCAAAATGTCTGCTGCTAAGCGAGACAGTTGTTAAGTGAGTTTTGTCCCATTTTACGACCTACCTTGCCACAGTTGTTGAGTTGAATCACTGCACTTGTTAAGCTAGCCACATGGTTTAGTTTAGTTTACATTTACTTTATTGTCATTGCACCTCGTACAATGAAATCAAACACCATCTTCAGTGCACATCCTGACCATGAAAATAAACACAGACATCCCTCACGCTCCAGACATTGAATTGAAAACCCCTGATATTGCATTAATATTACACTATATAGTAGATTCAATAGAGTTCCTGCCCTGGGATAGAAGCTGTTTTTCAGCCTATTTGTCCTTGTTTTTATTATTATCCTGTACCGGCTGCCAGATGGTAATAATTCCCAAAAAAAAGATTAAGTAAATCCAACTTCCCCACTGACTTTGCTTGTTGGAAGGTTGCAAACCCTGGGATACAGCCACTGTCATAAATGCGAGTCAGTGGCTGAATGCCTGAATATCGATCACATGACCGTGGAGACCCTGCAACAACCGTCGTAACTGTGAAAAAATGGTCATAGGTCACTTTTTCTGAGTGCCGTTGTAACTTTGGACGGTCACTAAATGAACTGCGGTAATTTGAGGACTTACTTGTACAAAGTTCCTGGCTTGCTTGGAAAAAGTTCCACATTAAATGCCTAATACAGGTAGTCTTTGAACTATCCCAATTGAGCCCGAGGTTTCTGTTGCTAAGTGAGTTTTGCCTTTCTTGCCACAGATGTGAAGCAAGCCACTGCAGTTGTTAAGTGAATCACTTGGTCATTAAGCGAACCAGTTTCTGTCTCCCCCCCCCCCCCCCCCATTGACTTGGCTTGTTGAAAGCCGACCAGGAAGTTTTACAATAGCGATCACGTGACCTCTGGGCAGTGCAACCGTCATAAATACAGGTCCTCAACTTACAACGGTTGGCTTAGTGACTGTTCAAAGTTACAGCGGCGCTGAAAACAAGCTACTTATGACCGTTTTTCACAGTTACGACATTTCCAGCATCCCCCAAATTCAAGTGCTTGGAAACTGACTTGCATTTATGACAGTTGCAGTGTCCCGGGGGGTTCATGTGATCCCCTTTTTGTGACCTTCTGACTAGCAAAGTCAATGGGGGGGGAATCAGATTCACTTAGCAACCGTCTTACTAACTTAATCAACTCCAGCGATGCCCTGGAAGGTCGTAAAATGGGGCATAATTCACCAAACAGATAATCTCGCTTAACAACAGAAATTTTGGGCTCCGTAGTGGTCGTTATTTCATGGGCTTGCCTGTACAATCCGGTTGCCAAGCACTCAAATTTGGATCAGGGGACCATGGGGATGCTGCAACCGTCGTAAATGCGAAAAACGGTCATAAGTCACTTTTTTCCAGTGCCTTTGTAACTTCGAATGGTCACCTAAACCAGGGATCTCCAACCTTAGGGACTTTAAGGCTGGTGGACTTCAACTCCCAGAATTCCCCAGCCAGCTTTGCTGGCTGGGGAATTCTGGGAGTTGAAG